TGCAAAAGACTGGTCACCTACCAGCAGTGTATCCTGTCTCTCACCCTATGACAGCTGGGTAAGCCTCTAGACTCCAATAGGCTGCAAATCCTAAAAGGTTTTTGCAAAGATTTTTTTATGAATTAAACCTGAATCGTGGTTTGAATACCGTAGTCTATCTCACCTGTTGTCAACTTCTAATTTCTACTTCAGCTTGGTGATGCACAATATCACAAACACGAGTCAACGGGCAGGGCAGAAATATGACATCAAAGCCAAAGCTCCAGAAGCTGCAGTTCCTCTAAAGGCCACTTGAGGCTGGCTCCAAAAGCAAATCAATCCCCACAGACTCCCATGTTAAAATGTCCATTTAAAAAGCTTTTTCGTAGCATTGCTTATATCCTACTGTATGGGTGGTTTCCCAATTCATAACATGTTTTAACAGTCATCTATGGTGTGGCTGTGACTGAGAAAAGGAAGGACACAGGACACCCACTGGCTAATGTCAGATCCACCCTTTATCATGACATCTAGTGCAGCTACAGCCAACCTTACATAAAGTCTATGATAAAACATAAACAAGCTGATAAACAGGTGAAACATTCTTACACTCACGCAAAATCCTGCAGCTCTGTTGCAACACTCAGCCCAGAAACCTATCCATACACTTCCACTAGAGACTTGACTAACCTCTCATGAACTTTGCCCTTTTCATCTCCCAGGGTAACCGTGACAGTCCGGACGTTGTGCAGCTCAAAGCACGGGTCGTACTGATGGAAGTCAGAAGTCACCCAGCCTACCCAAACACTGCTGGGCTCCTGACCTGGGAAGATCCGCACTGAATAGTAGTACTGCAGAAAGAGCAAGAGGTGCAATCACATGTAAACCAACACAGGAGTTAAAGCACGCTGAGCATTTTAAACCAGGTTCAGCAAAAAACATTCATCTCCTATAAATCAAGCCACACTTGCTCACTGGATTTATGAGCTACTCATCATGACAGTTGTCTTACAGTGGAGGCTTGCATGAGGAAATCAGAGCTAACTCTGTCATCAGCCATCACCTCCTCCGACACACGAGCAGATGAGGGACAGCTGTTGTCTGGCTTGTTTCTCTTCAGCGTCAACCTGGTAGATTGGATTAAGAAATAAACGAGGGGAACGAGATTGCTAGAGTTCAAAACCTTGGATAAATATCACAAGAGGAACATTTAACAATCTGAAGCCTCATTAATGTGATGTTAATGATTTGTTGAGAGGATGGAGGATTACCGCTGTTTGAGCTTGGAGGGCTTCTCCTGGTTATAATCTTTGTGGTTGTTGAATTCATCTCTGTCGGGTCCATTGGGACCATTATGACTGTGAGATGACTTCATCAGGACCTCAAAGTCTGACACGTTTTCAAAGTCCTCCAACTCCTGCAGAAACACACAACTGAATGCACAACACCACTGCAACAGGAAGTAATCAAAGAAGTCCTGACATAAATCTGTTTTAGGTCACTCTATATAATATCACCGAGACCTTTTAGCTCATGTCACGGTTTGTTCAGTGGATTCATGAGACTTTGTTAAAAAAACTAAGAAAATTGTTAAAAAATGTTGTGAAGGAGTTGAACATGATTTTGTTCAACTAAACATAGATATCAGTCTCCTTGTTTCACAGCAGCTTTAACAGAATCACTACGACTACTAGAACATTATTAATTATAAATTATTACAACGTCACAAGTAGGGGTGGGGAAAAAAAATCGATACTGTGTAGTATCGTGATATTTTGTTTGCTAATTATCGATACAGGGACAGCAGAAATCGATATTTTGTTACAAAAAAAGTAACAAGTTACAAAAGGATCAACATGCTCTGACTTCAGAGCATGTTGATCCTTTTTCTGAGCAAGAA